CATTCTTGGGACGCAAACCAGGACTATTGTTCGTTGATAGAATCCTAAAATTCCCTCTTTATTTTTTGAATGTCTACTGTGAATTCCAACATTGGCTATCAATCATCCCCACTCGTACTTTACCATCTGTTTGCGTCTCAAGGGAGTTGTAAGCAGTCATCGCGTACAAGTACGTGACCTGTCGGTCTGCGCTGAACAATATTAGCGTCTAGGGGCCAGCTGACTGACTGATTTCCCTTCGGTTTATCACTGCCCGAACAATATTTCCACTTTGTGAAATCCTAACACAAGGCAGACTATGAACACTCGATCCGATTGGGGAGGCATGAAATTCAGGTGGGGGTGGAGGTGGGGTGGAACAAAGAACCATATGTTGTACTTCTCTGGTTTTGATACACTTTCCTTGTCTTGTTGGTCCTTCGGGTATATGACATAAATTTTCAGTCTTTGAGATTCTATTATATAGTTCGTCAAATCACAGAGCGGAATAAAAGTGAAATGATTNNNTAGAGGGTTTCAAGCGGCCTTATTTTGTAGAGTTGACTTTTCATTACTCCTTAATGAAATAAACTAATTTTGAAAGCATTTTGCTTCTTCATCAAAGTCGTCAGTTATTTATTTATTTATTTTTTGAGATTAGTTCACAAAGTCGTACACCGAGATACGAGTCTCACAAATCACATTTTGGAAATCCAAATACTGTTTATGTCACAGTAAGCTAGATTACTTATGTACTTTTACGAGATTCGCTTCATCTACTGGATGATCCGGTCGCATACGTATCGCAGATAGCACCTACCTCCTAATAGCACTTGAAGGCGAGATGTACCGCGATCGATACCCGGTCTTGACAGTCTGGACACCTCGAGTTTACGGGATCTTCAACAACCACTTTTTCTACTATACACTGCAACCGGAGTGCCGACCTCAGACGAGCAATGGGAAGGGAACAAAATATTGGCAATGGTATGAATTGTTTTTAGATGAGATGAGCAAACAGATCTCCATTGATAGTGTATGGATTGGGACTTGTGCCGCACCAATTCCTCCTATTACCGCGACCAGAGTGATCCTGGTTCTCCTACTGCACTAAACCGTTTTATTTGGCCCTGTTTGTATGAACCATTTAGATTATTTTGCAGCTCCACCTGCTCGGTTCCGATACTTTCGGGGAAAATTGGGGGATTGGGTGGTTCTTTCACGCCTATCTGATTTATGCGTACATTCCTCGTTGTCTTTACTCATTCGCCTGATTATTTATTTGCACCTTCGGTTTCTTTGATTCATAGAACCATAATACTGGGACGAGGTTGATCTCATGTCAACTAACGGAGGACAGTTTTCCTGTTTGTTTGATTGGTTCTAGCCACCTTGATTAATTTCCTCAAATCCCTTGTGTGTCATTTCTGCCAGTGTCACGCAGCGCTGTTCTCAGTTAGCAGTGTGGTTTGTCGTCTACCTATGATCGATAAGGAGACATGACTCATCGGCGATAGATATGCATACCAAACACGGTGACGAATAACAAGACAAGGGAGTATGACCACGGGCTTGGACTGTATCCAGTGCAAAGTTGAGGGGAAAGAGAGAAAGAGCAGGCTGAGTTAAGAGTAAATTAATCCATCGCGGTCAGGTATCTAGATTTGTTCTCAGCGGAATTGAAGATTCATTTTTTCTCTCCTTTAAAATAGACTTTCCGACGTATACTGATCGGTTTTTTCCATCACCTTTGGGAACCTAGCTGTTTCAAACAGATTGAAAAGAATACAAACACCTTAATGCTGTCTTCGGTTTCACTAGGTCTTCCACAAACATGACCATAACAATAAACAGTAGGCTGAATGTCGGTCAGTCAAGTAAATATTATTACCATCTATCGATTTGTTCATTCTCCCTAACCATGGATCGGTTTAGTCGTGATGCCCCCATCCAACAAGCCTAATACCACTTATATAACCAGGTGGTGGTGGCCTGGTGGTAAATCACCAAATTATTACCCCGGAGGATGTGTTCGAATCCCACGACCACTCCGTGACATTCCTCAATGTGTGTTGCATGGCAGCCCTTTGATTGGTTGCTTCCCTCTTCCTGAAAGCTGTATCATTGCATATTCAATGAAACTAAGTAAAATTGAAAATGAAAATAGAATGAATCACAGGTCTGGGTTGTCATACTCTCATGTCAGATCTTGTTCTGATTACCACCACCTATCTGCTTAAGCGGGCAAAACATGCCGAGGAAGCGTATTTGATATGCGTAACTTACATACCCAGTCACTACTATGCAGCCTCGGTTGCGTAAAACTTTGTGCGTGATCTCAGTATCGCATATCCATCTGTTTCACCAGACGCTTGTATTCCGGCGTAGATAACGGCGTTCGAACACCGTTATTTTTTCTTCATCGTGTTAATATAACGATACTGTCTGTGCAGCGAACAGTCGAATCCTCACTGAGAGCCGAATGTCACAGTGGCTCCGTAGGAGTACGAAGTTGAGAAATGTAAATCCTGCCTCATTTATAACTCCCAACACTTCATCCATAATTCATCCTCCAGGTGAAGTTTAAATGCCCATATAGCAAAATATGTTTGCTTTATTACCGTTAAGGTTATAGTGGACCAACCCAGTCATGCAACAGCATTTAAACTTTGAAGGTGCAACCCACATGCCGAACACAGCTACACTGATAATCATATTATATGTATTTCACAACCGTCTGAATCCAAACTGTGCTAAACAAATCATGGTACAATAATCTTTATAAAAGAACATTCCATGATTGGCCTGTGGGCTCAATACTGCCAGGTTGCCCAGGCCAGGGCAAGTGAATTTCATTGAGAAATCCACAACCGAGGCCTTCGCTTAGCCAAAGCTTGATCCACAAGGCAGCAGGGCGGTGTGTTAAAACCGCAATACATTGAGAGCCAGTGTCCAGTTCATCGGATCATACCCTTCGGACGGGGTCAAACGTTCAAGATCCCCAATTGAGCTGGTGACCATTGACACAACCGAAAAGGTGTGGTGTGCGGTTTGTGCGCCTCCTCTTGATTGTTTTGGAATCAGAGTTTTTGGCCAACTCCCCTAGATGAAGTACTAGTGGTCCACCAACCCGGTTATAGCCGCGGATGTTGGCTTTTCGTCCTCTCACTTTGATGGGAAAACACCACCACAAGGCAGTGAGTAAGGCTTCCTCAGGAGAGGCTTTTTCAGACACTTGGTCGTGTGGGTTATCACTAAATAATGCAATATAGTCTGTGTACTCCACCTGCCACCTGGGAGACTGTCAACACCGTAGTTTCAGCATGGGGACAGGGTCATCTTCAAAACTACACTTACTACGAAGGAAAAAGCCGTGACGAACACTGCTTTCGATATGGAACTCAATCGAAAAAGAACCGTTTATAGAAAGAACGAACCCCCATATGTCCGGCGGAGTTTATTCTGTATCCAGCGGACACTGCCTTAGCCGGACAGTATCTGCAGGGGACACGGCGGCACCAAATACGGTACTGTGAACGCCGACCAAACTACCTTACATTCAATCCACATGATCAACTTTTGTCACTGGAGCCCGCGCCACCAGCGAAATTTCACCGACCCTGGAACGGCTCATGAGCCGTTGACTAAGCTTCCTCTGACATCACACGGCCGCACAACACTCAACGACTTTGTGACTCTGGTGGGAAATCCGGACGAGTAATGCCGATGTTAGGAGCAGAGCTTTAGGTTACCGCATTCGCTCACTAAAGCTAGTATTCAATCTTCTTTCTTTCTCCTCCCGCTTCATCCGAATAGGCAGCTAAAAAACAGCAACCAAAACCGTCGCACGTAAGTCCATGGTTAATGGTTGTGTAAACTGAAAACTGAAATGTCGGTAGGAGTATTTGTTACGTAAGCTATAAAAGAGGTTGCCACTCGCGTGTTTGACGAGACAGCTAATGGATAAAAAGATTCGCAGGTGACCCAACGAAGGCCTGACATGAGGGTATGAAAACCTTAACTTACATAGGTCACTTTAGGCTTCCTGGATGGGGATCTTGGAATTAGCCTAGCCGCTGCTTACTACGATTGATTGATATGGTTGATTGTTCTAAACAGTGTCCCTCATACCCTCTTGGTCTGGAAGGACCGCAAGCCGTCATACCACGTGTCAGAATGTAGTCTTATCGCAATGGTCATGGGAAAATAACTAAAGTGGGGCCTTAGCCAGCCACTTTTATCACAATACTTTTCCACATCCTATCCTATTCCCGAGGGGATAAAATGTATGAGCTTGCTCGCATACATCTATTACCGTGAATCTAACCGGTCACCTTCATTACCCTAATCAGTTGAACACTTTAAATGGATCTAATTGTTTACTAAACTCCGTCTTCCTTGTTTATTTCTCATTCATTTTCAGTCAAGGTACACAACGTCTGCGCCAAGCATACGAGGATCATCCAGATATGGGCAATACCAAATTGGTCCGGCCTCAGGAAGCTGTTCTCGGTCGACGATTGAATTCGCTCGGGGATCAAATGAAACGATTAGAGGTACGTCTTATCCCATATTTTTTCTGCCAAAAAATTGATTCCTATCAATAATTGGTTTTGCAAAGTGCACTGGTGGGATTTGCAGCTAGTTGGTGGAATCAGCTGAGTGCTAGCCACTTAAACGACCCATTGTTCTGTAAAAATGAAATTCAGTTTTCCTAATTTGAAGCATATCAAACCCTTATTTTGTTGGCAGTTCAACTCAGCTCTTGACTCCGTCCGTAAGGCGTATGATCCGATGAACTGGACACCGGCTCCCAAGGTATTGCGGTTTTTACACTTCGCCCCGCTGCCTTGTGGGTCAGGTTTTGATTAGCCAAAGGCTCCGCCTATGGATTCCCCAAGAAAATTCACCCACCTTGGTCTGGGCAACATGGCAGTATTTCTGAATGTTTGTATGTTTGTATGCATGTGAATCCAATCCAGTCCCGTGTATGATGGTTGCGCAAGGGAAGCCTTACCACAAGGCTTTTGTGTATCACTTCGAACTACGCTCCCTCTAACTGCAGGTTGGCTGCTGGAATGGACAAGTTTTACGATGAACTCCTTGCCAAGCCGAAACTCGGCTCTAGTTGTGCTGTCAGGCAATGTTAACACGCAGTTAAGAAAAATAAGCTTATCAGGAACCTCTCCATGAGATCGTTTCGCTCTGTCCGCCCATCGCCCTTCTAACTTCATTTCTACGTGGATCACTGATTTTTCCTGTTTACTGAGAGCATCTCTCTACCAAATTGACCTCATGGCAATAAGCTACCGGTTTAGTACTTCAGTGCTAAATTTCCTGTCCTATAGGATCACCTGTGTTGATTCTGATCCCGGAGTTCACTCTCAGGCTCCCTGGTAGCCGACCATAACCTCGATCTCGCACAGCTCATAATTGTCCATCTGTTCCAACTGATTGAAACTGTTATGAAGAAAAGCTAATGTACCAGCTAAAAGCCCGGTAACTTAGTGCAGTAGGTGAACAGTGTGATCAGAATAGACACAATGAATTTTGCAGCGGACGTTCCTTGGAAACCGGAGCCCTAAAATCTGTCTCAAACACTGAATCTCTCATAAATTAATACTCACAAAGGAAAAAAACGACATGATCAAAATTAAATGCCTAGTGCGTGCAACGTCAAATGGTAATTCACCCATAACCCACGTCTAACCTTACGCGGCGTTACGTGGTTTATCAGTCGAGGTTCCGGAGATTAGGCGATCGGTTTCCATCAATGAAAAACTGGTCCTCGCAACTATGGGGTCTACCCCGTCTGCTGTTCATTACACAAACCTTTTTTCACGTCTTTGAAATGGCTTTTAATGACTGCATCCTTGCGCCGATGATATCCTTCTCATAGGGCAGAAGTTGAACAAACGCGGTAATACGTTATACCTTTGAGTGGGTTTAATCATTTGCTTCTGTGTTCACATCACTGTGGGTATTTCTTTGTATATAGATTTTCTGACCCATTCATTCGACCATGGATCCTGTATTATTTCTTCTAGAATATTGCCATTTTAACTGAATTCACACTGTCCGTGTTTTCTGTGTTCTGTTTTTGTCGATTTTGGTCGCGTTCATCACATAACCCAAAGCTGTGACAGGCAAATATAGTTCAAATATCATCAGCTGAGAGTTTTGCGTTTCCTTCCTATTCCAAATTGATCACATTTTGTTGACGTCTATTGTGATTACTTCCTTATAATCAGTAGCACAACTAACTACAGCAAAACTCCAATGATCGTTTGACCCCGAATAAACGTGGTACCTTCCAGCTCTGGTAGTAATAGTACCGTCTGACCGCCTCTTCACATTCGTTGTATCCTTTTACTCATGAAGTAATAGCATTGGTCATCTCTTTCTCAAAATTCGATTTCACAGTTTTATGGATAAATGTATACAGGTATTGATCGAACTCGTGCAACATGACTCTGAAAAGAGAAATATTTCTCAGCCTCAAATATCATGCCCATATATCAATAGCTACTCGTATTAAACATTTATTTCGAACTTCACTTTCCATTGTAGTTTTCTTAGCTCTCCCGTTTCGCGATTTGAATTGGCGCGACCTTGGTTGTCATGATAAAAATTGCAGTAGTTCGAAAGTTACTGTTTAAAATCAGAAA